CTGGACAGACATGTGTTTCACATTATGCAGCCTTTGAAGAGATGCATATGTGAAGAGACTGTGTGTGATTGTAGGTTATCATACAGTCAAACCCACGTCAGTTGTTTTATGAGCTTTAAATTATGAGCATTACATGCAATCTGAAGGCTATCTGGGTATTGAATAATACATGTTAATGCAGGTGCGAATGCACAAGGTGGTCTGGCTCACATTGTGATCTGCAGGTGTAAATGCTATGTGTACAGCATGGACTCATTAAGAAAAACAATCCTACAATTTGAAAGGTCACCTGACTGATTTAGTTGAGTTTGCAGATAGGAGAAACTAAACCCTGACTGCAGAATCCAAGGTTCTGTGCAACAAAGTGCAAAGCGGTCATTGGAAACTGTTTGGAAATTAAAATACTTGGCAGGTGACTGGATGAACCATTAGTCTATCAACAAGTCATATAAAGTATTCAAACTCAGTCGTGAGAAGGGGAAAAACATATTTTCCATTAAGAAAACACTTCCATGCCTTCTGATACAACTAATGCTGGCAGCATCTATACTAACCAGCGAACAGCTTCTCACTTAAACTTAGCGTTAAACCACACCTGTAGCTCATGCCGTAATTCTGCTGATTGGTCTAAACCACTGGGGTTTGGACACAAGTCCATAGATTTAAGCCTGGCATTCATGCACAGATGGATTCATGCATGATCTTGGGATTTTATGATCTTGTGAGTTGGGCTGAATCGCAAGGTTGACGTTGTTTTCTGTCCAGTTTGAAGTGAGTTTTATGATTATCTTCAACGTAAAATTACTTTTGTCTGGTTGACCACATTGCCCTTTGTTTTGGTCTGAGATGGAGACACTCTAGTGTGACATCTAGTAGCAAGCAAATTTCATATATAACCTTTAAAAGATACCTTATGGAGGGTTTTTGTAAGTAAAGTTTTTATAACTTTTAATAATGACATTTATCTGAACTGAACTTATAAACAATTCATTAAAGGCCTGATTCGAAAATGTATTCCAGCTTGGAATGGATTAGCTGCTTTCCCCTTTTTGATATAATTGTTAATATTTTGGGGTTTTGGACTGTTGCTCGGACAAAACAAGTAATTTGAAGACGTCACCCTGGGTATGGAATAATACATGTTAATGCAGTGATCTTGTGAAGAACCCTTTTCACTATTTTCTGACCTAAATAGGCCTAGACAGGCAGCAGCACAGAGTTGGCTTTTGAGGCTTGCACATTGATTACAGAATTAATAAATAAAGATGAGATGAACTAAATTGATCCCTGAAGGGACACTTGGTAATTGCAGCAGCAGGAAACAGAAACAGAGGATTAGTCTGGAAAACAAAAGGTGATATATTGGCTCTACGTTCACAGATGTCTGACGTTCAGAGATTAAAAATTATCCGATGTTACCAGCTGTTCACAGGTTTTTGTGCGAAGAGTGTAGGTACAGGCGGTTCAAATAAGGGTCAAACACATAAATGTCATACACATAGACACAAAGAGGACCAAGGTATACACAGTTGTCCAAAGCAGTGAGTAGAAACAAAGCAGCACTGTGTAGCACTTTGGGGTATGTCTGAGTGAAATGTTGTGTTTTTAGTCTTTGGACCCTCTTTATATGGAGGTTTGCAGAGTTCCAGGAAGGATTAGACCAGATAGGTGCACTCACATTTGAAGCCAGCTGTGTTTTTGACAGGCAATTTTACAGCCTCAGAGCTTACAAACTTTGGCATTTTCCATTCTTCAATAATGGAAGTTTTATAGCTGCTGCTGCTGCTACTGGCTCAATATTGTTTTTCTGTCTTTCTCGTAACTCTAAGGTTTACTTTCTTTACTGTGTTTAATAAAATGCAGTCACGTTCCTGTATGCTGCTTGGTCAAATTCCTGGAGGCACATTTTCATAAAGGTTTTGAGCGGAGCTGTGAGCAAGAGAAACAAACACAGTGGGCGATAATGAAGTGAAGAAAACTGCAAATGCAAAAAAACACAATAAAAATAGTTTGAATAGTTTACAGCCTTAACATTTTGTTTATAGTTCAAACTAAGCTCCCTCTTGTAATTGAATTCATTATAGACACGTACACTACATTATAGATATATTTCCTGATTTTGTTATAGCACCTTAAATTGCCTCTGAATTCCCCAAATGTCCTTCCAATTTCTGGTAAAAAAAGCTCAGAAACAGCCCAGTTTCACGCCAAAACGTGTAAAAGACCCAGCAGTCTACTGGACGATAGGCCTAGGCGTGAAAAGTACACCCATGTATGAAGTTGCAGTACCAGCAGTAGTATAAAGAGCGACAAAGTTCGCAGATAATTTAAATTGTGAGTACAAGTGACTGATAGGGTGACAAAGACTTCTTAGCAGTTTGTGATTCAAAAGAACAACCGTGAACTCGGGCTGCATGATTACGGCCAAAATGTATACAGCCTAACAGTGTTGTAGAGTAGCGGTTCACAACCTTTTTCCTGAAGGGACCCCTTTTCTATCATTGAGAATACTGACTTAGTGACACATTTTATGGATATTTAATATTATATTCAATGCGTAACAATAACAATAGAGAGCAGCTGATAAACTGTACAATGAACATAAACAGTGAACACAATAGAATTAGCCATTTGGATGAATTTTGAGCAGCATTTCCTGTGAATATTGATCAGAAATTAGTTTTCCTGATAATTTCAGGATTTTTTTATATACTTCTCTGTCTGTAATATGTATTTTTAACAATTATACATACTTAACAGGCTTCTTTATTGACAAATTCAGTGTTTTCCTTTTTATTGTTCTTTGTTTGTTTAACTAAAATCCAGGACGATTGTTTAGCAGAGAGTGAAGGCTCTGTGGATATAGCTTGTATTCAGGTCTTCAATATTAATCTAAAAAATAACAATTCAATTTAGTTTTCTCTACAAAAATGAATGAAATGCTGAGATATAAATCTACTGTGTATAATGTTGTCTTACAACATAAAATCAAAAAGGCTTTGCGACCCCCTGTGAGACTTTGGTGACCCTCAGGTTGGGGACCACTGTTGTAGGCGATGGTGTTCATTTATGTGTTGCAAGCTAAAGTCGTGATCATGATTTAATATTCGAGAGGGTGCAATTGCAAAATCAGGGACTGAATTTTTAAACTCTCTCTCACTCTCATACATATGTCAGTCATAAGTCAGTCTTAGTCCCAACCTCATGAATAACTCCAAGTTAAAAAAAAAATGAAAATCCATTTTTTATTGATGGATTGATGAACAGGACATCCAGGCTCTGCTGTGAATGTTTACTCCTCCTCCAGACGCCAGGGCTTCCAAGCACATCTCACGCTCATTCTTTCCCCACAAAGAGCTGTGCTTCATTTTGTGTACCTTGAAAATGTTGTTTTCTTTTTACAAGGCAACCAAAGCGCTCCGGAGCATTTGAAGCCATTTTTATGCGCCTCTTTGGTCTGGTAATGAGGCTGCTGTTGATGTAGGCAGAGAAAGAGCTGTCGCCAGGCGCCTGCCGTGTGTGTATGTGTGTGTGT